CCACACCAGACTGAAAAAGCTGTTTCTTCATTGTAATTTCATCATTCTTTGCATTTAAAAAAAATGTCTAGGTTTATTTTGATAATCCACCCAAACCTATAAACCCTAAGACCATTGAGCAGAAGGAAAGGTTGTCTCCAAAAGCTTAGTGTAAGACTGAATACCGTAGCATTCCATATATGTTGATCATCATCATTTCTATTAAATGATGATGGGCATGGGACTCGAAACATTTAATTAATTTAATTAAACATTTAATTCAGGCATGTTATAAAACCAAGAGTTCTTTCGCCTTTGCTGTAGCTCTCATTTTTAATATAATTTCAGTAAAGGAAGCCATCATGCTGTTAACGGGGCTGTAGCACCTGTTGGTGTGACTTCTGGGATATACTTTTTATTTTATATTTTCTTCAACAGAACCTGCAGAGGAAATATAACTAATATCAATATTGTATTCTAAGGCTAAACACACAAATCATTAAAACAAGTGCATGAAGGTGAGATTAACATCCTCAGAATTAATTTTGTTTATGGTCCGGGGACTGAACTGGAGCCTCTAGAGATAAATGCCAAAGACATATACTTCATAAATGGTCAACTCTGAGCAACCTTTATGGTACAGCAATTTAAAAACAGAGTGGTTTCTGTCAGACACAGTAATAGAGATATCCTTCCTGCTCACAGCCAATGCTGTAAATAATGACACTTGAAAGAAATTAACATTCAAATTAACATGTTAAAACTGAACTGGATTTAAAGACTTAGCAAATTTAATGTATAGCCCCCCCAAAATGCCATACTTCAAAAATAAATCTTCAAAGCATGTGGGCCAGGCTTGGGATTCTAATAATTATTGACATTAATCCATCTTTTAATGTCCTATCAGAAATGTGTCATTACTAAATACAAATGGTTTGATTTATCTGTGTAACTACATCTAAGGCACACTGGATCTGAACCTGTGCTTTTAATCTGACATAAGTTTTTTTTTTTAATAACTCACAATGGTTATAATTATTTAATTTGAACTTCCAAAAGGACAATTCTTATAGATATTCTTCAGTTGGATCTCTCTTTAAAAAAAAAACAACATATTTTAAGCAAATACTGAATAAAATATCAATATTCAGGTACTAAAAATGAACAGCCTAAACTTTAGGATTCTTAATGTGTCTTATAATGCTTAAGGCTTTGCTAAGCTAGATAAGACTAAAGAACCGTCAAGATTTCCCCTTATTTTAATGGAAAAATATATATATATGAATATATTTTAGGAAGTAAACATGAATATCCACTAAGCACTGTTATTTCCAAGAAACCTTTAGCTATGGTTGTGAAACTAAAAAGTAGCGTTGTCCTGAGTGGGTGGTGGAAAGACAACATGTATCATTTATGTTTGTGTGAACAGAACAGATACAATCTGTGATTTCTTCATAGCTGTGTAGACACTCCAGAGGGGAATATTAAACAATGCAGATCAGCCTTTCCTCCTTCCTCTTTTCAACCTTTGTGTTCTAAATAGCTTCATAGAGAACAGCATAAAAGGATATACTGACAGCCTTTGGGAGATATTTCCTTTCCAATGTGTGACACAATCATATCTGAGCCAGGAGAGCATGTCAACAAACAGTTAAGGCAAGTCAAATAAAGCGAGATGTCAGTCAAGTGCTTCAGTCATAGGCTCACAAAGGAATCCCCAAGGAACTACAGGACTGTGGAAAGTATTGCATTTTGTTATTTCTGCAAGTTAGACAGGAAATCTGACACCAGTGAATCACTACGCCCACCTAGTCCCAATCTGTCATGTCCTGCAATACCCAAATCACTTTTTATTTCTACATGAAACTACCTGTGATCATTGTTTAAAGACATGAAGCAAAAAGCTAATTACCTATCAACAAGTGTTAACATGCATCTGACACAAAGTAAAACAGATATACTTTTACTGAATCAACACAACATCAGTAGTTGAAAATAAAACACATGTAAATGAACACAGAGAAAAGGGTTAGTAATTATTCATATTTATATTTAGGTATAGTGGAGGATTTTCACAAATTTTGAAAAGATCTGCCCTCCGCTACCACAGTATACATGTCAGATCAAATAATACTACATATACTTCAGCGATAGTATCAAGGTGTTACTTTATTGTATCTCTTATGCTATATCCGTTGGTGGTGCTGCTCTTTTTACATCTCTTTGCAGGAGATGAAGCAGACTGAAGATGTTTTATCATTGCCTCCCATTTATCTCCTCTTTCTTTCATCTTTTCTCCTTTTTCCTGTTTTTCATTTCCTGTTCTACTTAGATTGCAGTGTCCATATAATCTGTAATATTCCCTGCATGAATTATAATAAAGCTATTTATATGCATAAATTAAGCGGAACACTATGGCGATAGCTGTACTGGTCCACTTGTGAAAGTAAAATCTGCTGGGCTCTTTTTTTTTGGAATCAAGACAATTATTTACCGTATTATTGGCACATCGCCAGACAGGGCACTGTTAAAAAAAAAAAAAAAAAAAAAAAAAAACTCTGCCCTCTCCACTTACAAAAAATAATGCACATGCACAACCCTGTACCCGCTCCAGAGAAGGAATGCCTATTAAATACATGACAGAGCGTGCACAAGCCTATTTCTACTACTTTGTGCACGTTCTGCTTTAATGTTGCTGTTTGCATTGATTATACAAGTTTATTTTCCAAAAGAAGATGTGCAATTTTTTCCACTATGTCAGACTCACCACCACTAAATGAAATGGGGAAGAGTAGTATCACACCTTAATGTAAACATATCGCCAAAATGATTGACAATTAGGAGGACCACTTATTTTGATGATCCACCTGGAAAAAGAACATCCTCCACTATGCATTTAAGTTTTGTTTGTTTTTTTTACTGGCAAACTTAATTGTTTTTCAAGTGGCTATCACTTTTATGAAAGATGTTATTGAAGATCAATGAATGTTTATTCATATAACCTAGGTAAAGAGAATGTAATTAAAGTATTTAGTCGCATTTGGTCAAACTTGCCCATATGAAGCACATATGAGCTGTGCTAAGCCATATAACTTCAAAACTTTTACAAGTTTTTATTTTGCAACAGTAGGTTACTCAGTAATAAAATTGGTTTTCATTTGAAAAAACATTTAGATAAATTCTTCCCAGTTTGACCACTGGCTCGTCACTAAGTCAGCTTCACAAGTACAACCAGATTTTTGTTTTGACATTATTTTTGTTCATTATAAAAAATCATGGAATCATGGAATTGTATATATTTTCCAAAGTTGTATCATTATTAATTTCGTAAGCATCTAAGAAAACAATTAACTCTGGAGGGAAATTTTGCATTCTGAATGACTGTCAGATGTTCACTTCAAAGATGACCTTATGAAAGACTATCAAGAAAGAAACGCTGCGTAAAGACAACCATGTAGAATCTTGTTTGCAGTTATCTCATGATTTAGAGCAGTGTTTCCCAACCTTTTTAGACTTGTGTATGTTACTTTGGGCGTGTTGTCTTACTAGGAGTTCCCCAGTCAGTCAAAAGTGTTGATGATTGTCCAAAAGTGGAACATAAAATAACTGATTATAAAAAATAAAATATTTTACTAAATCTTTTAGCCTCAGAATTTAATTCTTAGACATTTTATGCTTCCCATCTCAAATAAAAAGAAAAACATAAATATGTTGCCTGGAAGATTGTAAGGAATCAAAACAATATTAAATAGATAAAATAATACTATAAACCTGTATCCTTTGAATGATCCCTTATAATCACACTTAATCACACAATGACTTAATTAGTTTTACTTTATTTTCATCAAGACACCTGAGCTGCTTTGATGTGCTGATACCTCAGTGTGAAAAACAGCTGATACCAGACTGTTCTCTACATCCAGTCTGTTTCTCTGCTTTGTTTCGGTGTGTGTCAAACCTGAAGCTGAACTAAACAGATAGTAAAAACTTTCTGGTTGATAACAGCTTGAATTGTTTAATTGGGTCCTCACAAAGAAAAACGGATCCCAGCCCTATTTTATTTTACTGGCTAAGAAATAGAATATTTTCATGTGCCCCTTGCAATGCAGTCACGGACCACTAGAAGTACACATAGCCCCATTTGGGAAACACAGATGTAGAGTACACATCCAATAGCCAGAAAAAAAATTTGGTCAAATAAAACTGAACCAAAACGTAACTTTTTGGCCATCATTCAAAATGCTATTGTGGCAGAAAAATACACACAATATCCTAAAAACACCATCAAGCGAGACCATCAAAGTCAAGTGGAGTTTTAGTTGAGGTCTTTTTCAACTAGCAGGGGTTTTAAGTTAACAGGAGAATTGATGAGGTGGAATAAAAGGAGGGAGTTTAAACAAAACCAGGTAGACTTTGAAAAACATGTTAAACTGGGAAGGAGGATCATCTTCCCGCAGGGTAAAGACCCCCCAGCCTCTGCTGCATTAGAATAATCAAGATTAACACATTTTAATTTTAAAGACTGACATAATCAAAGCACATATTTAGATTTAATTATTAAATCTGTGGTGAGACTTGCAATTCGCTCTCTGCATATTCCCTTCCATTGTGGGCGCGCTGCTGCTATTTTGCAAACAAGAGGCACAATCCAAGTCTAAATGTGAAAAACCAATTCAGATCTAACTCAAAAGTCAAAAGACTAGGGACTAGAGATCATTCTTTAAAGTATTATCTCTGGACGGCTTAACATCAAAAATCATTTTTCTTTGAGAAAAAGCGTGGAAAGCATTATTCCTTATAATCATGCATTACATTTATGTTACTCTATCACATTAAATTCCCATCAAATACACTCTTATTTGCATTTGTATGTTACAAAATTTGAAAAAGTCAAAAGGCATAAACACATCTGCAACCTGGTCCTAAGTGCAGTATCTAAAATAAGATACCCATGCTGATAGTAACTGAAACACAAACAAGTTCATTTGATTTTATCTGAATAGATTTATTCAGGCTTAAGGACTAAATAGCAAACAGTTCATATAGAATATCTGAATCTCTGAATTACACATCTGAGTGTCAATATAACAAATAAGCAATGTGTTTTAGCAGTTAAAATTAACAAAGCAGATGTAGTAAAAATGCAGCAGATTTTCTGAGGAACGCTGCTGTAAATGTGTTTATTTTATCATTTTAGATGTGCTTAAAGCAAATAAGTAAACACTTGCTCCTTTAGAAAACAAGACAAAGGTTAGCTATAACAACAAAACACCTCAGAGCTTTGTTCCTCAGTCACATAAACATTTTCATATATTAACACGTGTGATTATGAGGCACCACACAATAATAGTAAAGTAGTCTTTTCACGTATTTACACAAGAAAATTAGCCCTTCTGGCTGGATGAAGGATAATTTTTAATGAGCAAATCTTTTCCATGTATTTGTGTACATTGTGAGAGTTTTTACGTCTTTTTTGTGAACCTTGGAAATGAGCCTAATAAGCATTAAATTTCAATAGAGTGAGTCTGCATGAAGAGCAAAAAGAACATTAAGCAGACAAATACAAATACAAACAAGCAGTTTGTAAGAGGTAAGATACAGCTTACTTTATCCTAAACAAGATCCATATGTTGCTCATTTTGTCTCTGTGTTCCAGTTTACAAAGTAAATGCTTCAGTGAGTATCCATCTGTCTCTACAGTGACCGCTATTCTTTCAGAGGAGAGACAGGACTGAAAGGGAAAAGCATTGCCTGTACTGCCACTCCTCCACACACCATCAAGTCCAGCTTGATCATAAGATTTGTTCTGATGGCTTGGTTCATCTCACACATATTTAATTTAAGTACAGAGAGGTGACTTTTGTTCCTTGGTTGAGATGCGTGTCATTGAAACAGTTTTGCTACTTATACAGTAAGCAAAGAGCCCCTTTGTCCCATTGGTCCTCATATTGAGAGTGATGTAACAGTAAGGTCAAGAAACAATCGGTAAAGAAACAGAGAAAAAAACAAACTATTATCACAACCGTATCATGAAGATTGTCAAGGCCTTTATATTATATTCAGTTATAATGTTATGAATTTAGATCTGAGTTAATCTGTAAACCCTTCTTCTGCTAATAAGTATATTTAAAGGCAGTCACTGTGGCAGGCATGCTTTACAGGGTCTGGAAAGGGTCATATTTAAATGAAGAGACCAAACCATTAGAGGGAATAAGCTGAGGCCCAAGTCAGAGTCCAAAAGCAGTTGGAGGCAAAGATGCCTCATTCATCATTTTTTCCACCCATTTTATGTCTTCTTCTAAAAATGTATCTAAATTTGTAACTTGTTGCTGTCATTTCCTTTCTAATACAATCCTTTGAAGACAGTGAGCGCAAGCACCACATGCTTCATCAGTCAAGCAACACTGAACATTTGACTTTATGTCAACCTACTATAATCCTGGTCATGCAGGGATCCCTTAAAAAGATCGTTTCCATGACTTACAGAGAATTTTCTGGAAGGCTCTGCGAAAGTCCTGATTGAAGATGGTGTAGATGACTGGGTTCAGGGAGCTGTTACAGTAGCCAATCCAGAAAAAGAACTTGAACATGGTCTCTGGGATCTTGCATGGATCACGGCAGATTCCATATAAGCTGTAAGAGAAAAAGAATGGGAACCAACACACCACAAAAACTCCCATTACCACAGCCAGGACAAATGTGAAGCGTTTCTCCCGTGCAGCAGAGACTTTCTTCCGATTTACAGTGCTCCGGCGTTTGCGACGGGAGGAGAACAGTTCCAAGGACTTTGAGCTAGAGCGTGACTTCCTGCTGGAGTATTTGGAAGCAGAGCTGCTCTTCCTGCTGGACTTTCTGTCCTTTCTGTCATTCTGGTATTGTTTGGAAGAACCAATGCACTTTTTTTGTTTCTCATCTGATGAGCTGCTATCTTCAAAATCATCATCTTGGTTATTTGATGGATGTTTCGGGTCATTTGATTTAGGAGATCGAGCTGTTCGCTCCTGGCAATGCCCGTTCTCAGGTTCTTGCTCTTTCATGCTCCCACCCTGAGTGGACCTAATGGACCCTCCCATGCCTGGCTCGGTTTGGTCAATCCCATTTTCATGAGGGGAATCCATGCCCCTCTTTTTCTCCGACAGCGTCCTGGTCCTTGTTTTCGCCACTTGATAGATTCGAATGTAGACCAAGATCATTATAACACAAGGAGCAAAAAAGGATCCAATGCTAGAGTAGAGAATGTACCAGGTCACGTCATTCAGCTGACATGTGGGTCTCTCATGACTGCTGCTCCTGTCCATTGAAATCAATGGAGGGAATGAAATTACAGCTGAGATCAGCCACACCACCACAATCATGCCTTTAACTCGTTTAGGGGTCCTCTTTAAGTTGTACTCTACTGCCTGTGTCACCGACCAGTATCTGTCCAAACTGATAGCACAAAGATGAACAATTGACGAGGTGCAAAATAAAACATCCAGAGCAAGGTAAATATCACACCAAATTTTGCCAAAAAACCAGTAGCCCATGAGTTCATTTGCCAGAGAAAAGGGCATGACCAGAGTGGCAACCAGTATGTCCGCACTGGCTAAGGAGACCAAGAAGAGGTTCTGGGGTGGTTTGAGAGCCCTGCTAGTTAAAACTGCAATAACAACTAGGACATTTCCTACTATTGTAAACAAAATGAGAAAGCTTACAAGTCCAGCCAGACCCCATATTGCCAGCTGGGTGTACTCTTGGCTTTCAGATGTTAAATTAGATGAGATATTTCCCACCTCTGTCCCATTTTCCAGGCTGGAAAAATTAATAAAATCCATTCTTTGCTCAGTGTATGACTTTAAAAAAATACTAATGTTCCAGAAAAAGCCTTATTAAGACTTAAGGGCATATTTTGCTGCATAATAAATCTGCCTACATCAGATGGCTTTCTCCTCTCATCCACATAGAATCGTCCACATTCTGCGCACAAGTCTTTCCTTTAGAAAAAAAAGGAGAAGGGTGAAAAAAAAGCCCAAATATAAAAATATTTTTAAAAGTCTTAATCCCAAAAGATGCACGCGGCTCAGCGGTCACATTCCCATGAATAAAAAGCGACAGCTTCCTCGCAGCGTCTTCTACCATCCCGACTGCGCCCGTATCTCTCCACCTCCACCTCCCCACTGCGTCCTGAGAGAGATTTGTAACCACCACGTGTCCTGTGCAAAAAAAAAAAAAAAAGAACAAAAAGATACCTGTTCCGCACGAAAGAATAAAGAGAAAGAGAATGACATGGTGTTACATTTTAAATATATTTAAATGTCGTAACTTTTGTACGAAAAATACCTAATTCAATGTACCAATGCGTAAGCAGTGTGTCTGCATGTATTGACAGCTGGTCAGAAATATATATCACTCTTTTTTTATCTTTCTCATTCTTTCAGTATAAACCGTGAAACTTCATTTACAAAGACGGAGAGAGAAGAGAGAGGAAATGTGGACAGAGACAGGGTTTATATTGCTGTCAGAGCGCAAATCGGCTGTCATGAAGTCCCACACCAAGGACAAGGCGTTCTCCTTTTATTGCCTAAACTGGAGATCACTTTATACCAAACAGACGGGCTTTACTGAGATACCCCCCTCCCAGATTCGCTCTTAGTTGTTTACGTTTTGCTTTAGAAATTACTAACCTATGCTGTATAATTTTGTATACTCATTTTAAATCTTCTATTTGGCCTTTAAGAGTTTGCTCAGTTTTTTATACTTACATGATTTTGCTAATTAGATTTTTTTCTGGTTAGAATTTAATGTTCCACACAGTTAAAAAGTTTTTGGTCATTTTAGTTAGTTTTAAGATATAATTACCCAAGTCCCATTTTTAATGACAGATATTCTTTGCATGTTCTCCCTTAACATGCGTGGGTTCTCTCCGGGTACTCCAGCTTCTTCCCACTGTCCAAAAACATAAATGTTAGGTTAATTGGCTTCTCTAAATTCTCCTTAGGTGTGAGTGTGTGTGTGTGAATTGTTTTTTGTCTTGTTTGTCTCTGTGTTGCCCTGCGATGGACTGGCAACCTGTCCAGAGTATACCCTGCCTCTCGTCCATTGACCGCTGGAGATAGGCACCCCAACCCCTCACAACCCCTCTCATGGAAAATGGATGGATGGATATTCTTAAAGAGGACAGGCTTTAAATATGGAGCCTGCAAAAACATAGTGCTGAGGGAGGAAGGAAATATAGGAACAACACCCGTGATGGTTCCATGGAACTTACAGTGCTATAGAATTGAAAAAAATACAATTATTCTCTCATTTTTGTTTTCCCTATTTTTGAGGCAATAGGGATCCCCTCAAGATATTCTGAAAATCATTCACTGTGGGTGGATGTGTGTTTAATATTCCCTTTTCTTACACTTTTTAGTAAATGCACAAATTCAAAAAAGATCTGCATTGTAAACAATCTATAGATGCACCACTTAAAATCCTATAGTTTATTGCTGCAATGAGGTCTGCTGCTTTTAAATATCTGCAGGATATGCCTGGACAGAGACGTCTAGGTTATCTCATTTCTCTTTTGTGTGGATTGCACTTTCCTCAAGGACATGCATGTGGACGCATGCTTTTCACCCTCCATGTTTTCAGTGCACTCTCTGGCCTTTTCTACTTTATTCTCACATTCTGTTGGACTCTCCTGTGTTTCCCTGAAGAAAAAAAAACATTTGGAAGCTTTTCAAATGCTTGATGTTGCAGTTCTCAAGCAAGGTTATTGAAATTGAATACAAGCTCAAAATGGTTCTGAATGCTTTTTGTTCTGCCCTCCACCTGGGTTCGGCTGCTGCTATTAACCCTGTTCCCTCTAGGTGGTGTCCTCTCTCAATTAAGAAGGCTGTCTCACCTATAGTGTTGATCTGGTATTTGCTAGAGGAGTTTGCTTATTGACCACATCTTCCGCCTCACCATCTCACACAGAGAGCAGCCACAGTCAAAAGAAGTGATAAAGTCCAAATAGGTCTGCATCGATACTGGTAGATGGAATTGGAACAGGCTAAGGAGAGGATCATATAAACTACCACCCTCAAAATGAACTGTTTTTGCCCATCATGGCTCTTTCAAGTAAAAAGAGAGACCTTTGCTACAGGTCAGTTTGGATGCACATCAGGTTTTTTTGAAACGCCATTCAATTTGTGATTTGGTCATTAAGTTGTATCCCAGGGCCACAACTCCTATAAAAACAACATATATAATTGGGCATCAGTGAACCATCTCAGCTTTTTCAGAGCCCATTTCTTGTTTTTCAGCACAGCAGCTCTCCTCAGAGGGAGTAAGTGAGCCTTTCTGCTGCTAGCCAGACATCTGCTATTGACGTTAAAGAAGCTTTACCAATTACTTTCATCTCTTTATATCATTGCTTTTTTCCACTCAAAAAAAAGATTTTCTTTTGTGCTGTTTTCTTTGGTGCCACTCTTCTTAGCAACAGAGTGTTGTCCCATTTTTTTCCATCGTAAGGTTGGAACACCTGTTTTTTTATTTTTTTATTTAAAGTACTACAATTCAGACAAAAAGAGACGTTTCCAAAAGGTGGAATATCTGATCACAGAAATTTGTAAAGCAGGGCATTTCAAAGTGCCATGCTTCACAGATTTCCTGCCCCCCACTTAGAAGCGCCAAAGCTTCTAACTCAAATAACACATCCTAGATATGAATGAATTAGATAGGCTACTCTCATTGAATACGTTGTTCTGTAGAAAGTGGAATGTGTGGACAACAAAATCACACAAACTGCATCAATGAAAATCTAGCTTATCAAACAATGGAGATGTGGTTTTAGAATCATACACAAAATTAAAGTAGAAACAGACTACAGGCTGATCCAACTTTGATGTAATGTCCTTAACACAAATCAAAATGAGGCTCAGTATTGTGTGGCCTCCATGTGCCAGTATGACCTCTGTACAATGCTTGAGCATGCTCCTGATAAGGTGATGGATGGTCCCCTGAGGGGTTTCTTCTTCTAGACCTGGACTAAAGCATCCCACAATTCCTTGACAGTCTGTGGTGTAATATGACATTGGTGGATGGATCAAGATATTATGTCCCAGATGTGCTTAATCAGATTCAGGTCTTGGGAATGGCGATGAATAGCTTCAATGCTATTGAAGTACTGAAGCTGAATGTTAACAGGGTTAAACAAAGTAACACTTCTGTACCGGCTAGGATTTATTGCTTGCTGCTCAAACCTGGCTCTCCCTGGTGGTGTCTTAGTCTTAGTGAACCTCAGACTTTTCTTAATATTAAAAACAAAATATAGCTTCCTTTGAAATAGCTTCATACACCCATGTGTTTTCTCAAGTTGTGCAATTTTACCAGACAATTATAACTATATTAAATAACTAGAAATGGACGTTATAGGTAATTAATATTCCAAAAAAGTATTAAAAAAAACAAAAAAAAACAGTCCACTGGACTTTGTTTCCAAGTTTGAAGACATTTTGCTTCCCATCCAGGAAGAGTTTTCCATTAAAAATTTTAGAATTAGCATTGAGTTTGAGGCTTTATAGAGTGGACCAAAACAACGCCTTATTTTCCCTTGGAAAACATGCTAACTGAACCAGAAGAATGGGTCTGCCCCTTAGAATGAGGAGTTGTTTGGGTTCTTTGTTAGCCTGCAATACCCTATACTGGTCTATGCCTCTGAAATGGGGCCATTAGGGGGAATTGTTGGCCTGGCTGTACAGGCAAGATGTTTTGGAGGTAGGTAATTAATAGATAGTTAATATGTAATTCAAAGTCAGGGCTAAGACCAATAAATCATTTTTAGTTGAATGATTATAACTAATTTGTGGATCCTGTGTGATATATCCATAAAAAAAAACACAAAATAACATGGGTTAAAATACAATGGTACTTTTATTAGCTAATAATCACACAGCATTATTGTAACTACTAACTTTGCAAACCCTAAACACTACTGAAAATAAGCATAAATAAATACAACCAAACAAAAGGGGGTTTAAGAGCCCATTCAAGAGTATCTAAGGAATGTTCAAGTGTTAAGGCTTAATGCATCCAAATGTGTCCTTTAAAATAACAGCAGATAAATGTAAATAAATAAAATGTTAAATGCACTCAATACAGTGAATCTTGACCTAGTCTTACAGTCAAAGATGAACAGTGACTAAGCTCAGGAATCCATTGAAATGGTGACACTGGAAAGAATGTGTTAATTCAGCTACACAGGAGATCCAGTTCCAGGGTGGGCCAGCTAGAATAAAAGAGTAAGGGGACTCTCAACATGGCTGCTACTGTACCATAAGGCCAGCAATGTGGTAGGTTGGAACTAACAATGCTAGCCAGTCCAACCGCAGTAGCCTAACTCTTCAAAGAAATAGAAAAACAGTAATTAAGAAGACAGTCACACACAATATGGATCGTTCGCTCAGGTTTGGTGAGCATTAGCATTCAGTTTAGAACTCTTACTTAAAAAACCTTCAACAGTTAAATGAGAAACCTTGTATTAGATTAAACACAAACTACACATGTAAAATATCTCTTCCACCTATCTTTTGCCCAAGCAGAGTATTTATCAAGCATCAGATGAAAGACAGAAAAAGATGTTTACTGGTTTGCTCAGTGGAATGGAGGGGGCGGGGTTTGGTTCCATTGTAGGTACCAGATCTGCTCGGATGGACATATCTGCTCGGATCATGCACCTGCTAGTGACGTTAGGCTACATGATTGGCTGAATGTTGAGACATGATTTAAAACATTGTAGTCTAATCATCGATGAAGTTTTACCTGATCGATAACAAAACTGAAAAAAATATTTTTAAGGTGAACAAAGTAACTGTTATACCATGGTATAAAGGAGTAGAGCTGGGTAGCATTGTGGCTAGCTGTGCTCAGTAGCTAACAGGTTAGCCTCTTTTAGCTCGGTCAGTTAGCCATATTATTTGGTGCTCGTCCTTAAGGTCTCTGAATAGGGAGTGTAACATTGGTTGGACTGAAAATGGCATATTTGCTGTTCTATGCGCCCTATTGCAAGCCTGGTTAAAAGCCCTGGAATGAAACGACAGGTTTGCTTCCTTTTACGGTATGCTCATGAATATTTAGATGAGCTGTGCGCTGATTGGTTGG